ATAGCAATCATCCACCTACTGCTAGATCTACCTAATATATCATTTATGTAATATATATTATGTATTAAATATGGTATATTTATGTAAATACATAAAAGATATGCTACAGGATGAATCAGCACTGGATTATATGGGACTGCTTGTAATATGTAAAACTTTAGCATATCAAATGAAGCATATACACAGTGCAAATGATGGACATGCCCCTGATTATGGTATTTTAATCATAAAAGTAATTTTAAGTGATAACAACATCCTCATTTATGTGATGTTCAACATTTAACAGTGTAACAAAACATCAATGCAGAGTGGAGGAAGAGGTGGAATATCAAACTTAACCCTTCCCGATAAAGTCGTCACATGCTGACCATGATGCTACTGTACATTCATATACATGGCCTTTATGAGGGAAGTAGAAACAACGAATGTGTTCTTAGCTCTGTTTTCGTGAATTTTTCATTAGAATTTGTCAGTCTAAAATACAGTAAAGGAGGAGAGGAAGAGGTCTAAATTACACCTGACCCTCCCAGGTTGCGACCTAAATACCGATCCTGCTGACCATGCATAAACTACAACAAAAATGAATTAAAAAGGGAAAACTGTTAAACTAAATGAAGAGAAGCAGAATCAAATTAATCAATTTATATAAAATAGTCGAATTAAACAAAAACCAAGCAACAAAGTAAAATTAAAGTGAATCCAACATAAAACAATAGATAAACACCCTTCTTTTTTAAAAATGCATATAATAACAAACAAGAACTTTAAAATATAAAATGCATAATACAATATATCCTCTTTAAATATGAAATAGATAAACATGTGAGAAATCTTTTTATGTATGTAATATGGATTAATTCATGTATATGCACACTTAGAACATTCAGTTCAAAAAAGAAACCAAGCAAAATTATCAAACTATTACAATAAAAAGCTCAAATATAGAACATATACCATGAAGGCAAAAATGAACATATAAAAATATATATTTACATACAGGAGATCTGGCATGATCAGTGAAGAGTGGTTAGCAAATCATCTGGGGCTGCTGCAGTGCACTTCTTCACCACTACCATCTACCAAAAAAGGTTAGTTGTCTATACCAGCATCTCTTGCCATTAGCTCTGGAGTCAATTACCTCTCATCATCTACTTTCTTTCTGGATAGCAATTTCCTAGACATGTATTCCATCACACCATCTTTACCTGGCAATGAAAGCACCAGTTCAGGATTCAAACTCCATGTCAAACCACTCTCCACATTATATCACCATCCATGTTTTTCTATCCAGAACTAACACAAAATAAAAGTAAACAATTCACTGTGCTAGAAATCTTCACTAGGCAAAACTCTGTACTTATAACAGAAATCACATTTGTTTTACGACGTGATCATGAAAATTATGAACACTACAGTGCTCTGTTTTTATCTATCTATATAGATAAAACTAAACGTCACTATGCAGACTTGATTGTAAGTGTTCCTCATGTGAAGAGCAGAACTGAAAATTCTCAATGGAATAATATCTCACCTCCGAAAACAAACAAACAAAAAATATAATTAAAATTAACATAGAAGTTTTTAGATATATTACAAATTTCGGTATTTAGTCATTATGTAATATTGTAAGCTTCCTAGCGATCTATACTCACCATTTCCACAAACTAAAATTGTGTGAATAACATGCATATATGAAAGTGGGGTTTGGCTAACTTTCATATTTCTGTGATATAAAAATTATGTTATATAGTTATAACGCAGCTGCTTATGGTATTTAACGTTTTCTATATAGTGTTCATTCTTCTGACAAAGCATTAGCATTCTTTGACTTGCAATAATCACATGCAATGGCTTCTGTTGACACTTTGTAATTGGAATCCTGAACTTGTAATGCTACTGTCTGGTTTTTTTGGCCGAATTCTTTATAGTAGGTGTCTTGTTGGTGATAAATTTCAACAATAAACAAACAACAACTCCCTCCACTTGTTTTAAAATAATATACTAAAACAAGTCAAATGTATATACAAATGTTCGTTACGCTGTTGTATACAGAGCTTTAAATAGTTATTTCTTTTTCTTCAAAGTCTACAAAGGCTGGTTCAGTTACTTGTTTGTTTTTGAATTTCGCGCAAGACTACACGAGGGCTATCTTCGCTAGCCGTCCCTAATTTAGCAGTGTAAGACTAGAGGGAAGGCAGCTAGTCATCACCACCCACCGCCAACTCTTAGGCTACTCTTTTACCAACGAATAGTGGGATTTACCATAACATTATAATGCCCCCACGGCTAAAAGGGCGAGCATGTTTGGTGGGATGAGGATTCGAACCTGTGATCCTCAGATTGCGAGTCGAACGCCCTAACCACCTGGCCATGCTGGGCCTGGTTCAGTTTCTATGGAACACAATTGACGAGAGAAATTATTTCTTTCTGCTCTGTTATTACAATACAGTCTGTGATAATTTTACTTTAAAATCACCACTAGAAATATAGATTACCACAGTTTAAATAATTGTCTCCTTTTCTTCAAGGTCCGCATGGCCACGTGGTTTGGGCGCTTGACTCTCAATCTGAGGGTTGTGGGTTCGAACCTCCATCCTACCAAACATGCTCGTTATAATGTGATGGTCCATCCCACTATTCGTTGGTAAAAGAGTATCCCAAGAGTTCTAGCTGACTTCCCTCTAGTTTTTCACTGCTAAATTAGGTCGTCACTACACCAAGTAATTTAAATAACTTGGCAGACAGCTGATTGTTAAAGTTTGTTCTTTGATCAATGTGCATCTCCTCTGTTGGTCTGAAGCAAGTTATCCATTGTTTAATGAATGTGTCAGCAACTGTATATAGATACAATGAGGATTTAAAAATTACTTATGTCAATTATTGGAAGGAGTTCCATGATATCCAAGGCTATTCTCTAGAATAAAGAACATACAACTTGTTGAGTTTTCCTGGAACATAGTGTTACACCATCACTCTATATCCTTTCGAGAATGAAGGCAGTAAAACCGTCTCTGCAGCTAGCTGAATGACAGATATTTTCTCGGGTCCCCCAATATAGTTATTGTGTAAATCTTGGTTCTTGGAATATCCGATTTCTTTATCCAACATTAAAATTCTCTCAACAGCCAAACATGATACTGAACTTTTAATAAAAGAAACTTTACACATAAAAACTCTTCCTCCGTCCATAAATAATACATTCTTCACTTGATTTAAACTTATTATAACTTAACTATTTTATTTGTGCCACATTGTTTAATTCTTATGTATATATTTATGTTGTAGTTACAAATATTGTTTGTTTTGTACCTTCAGATTACTGATGATTCCGAAACTTTAATAAATGCTTCCTATCAACATGTTCGTGTTCTGCTTTATCTCTGTAACAAATGCTACAACCGTATTTTTTCTTTCCATTGTGAATCAACTGACATCCCTTTAAATGTTTTTTTCCAGGAAAATAGTTGGTTACAAAAAAGAAATACATCATTAATAAACCGTTTTACTCCAGGATGTATCTAATTTTCTCGTGTAACACAATAATGGAAGTACATTATGCTAATACAATAATAAATTCACAGACAAAGATTTAAAAGCATAATGAAGTGGTTCTATTTTTGGGAAATATAAAACAGGCCAATGTTTTATCGAAACTTGTACTATGTTCCCTCAAAATAAAACCATTTCATTACACTTATACATTATTGCCTGTGAATTTACTACCATAAGAAACTCTTCTTAACATTTTTAAAATCCATAATGTCTATGTGATTCATATCATTATTTCAGATAACTACTACTTCTCCAAAATCTTCACCATGATACAACTAAAACTTCTTCCAGTTTCTTTGCTATGTTACCTAACCATGTCCTCATGAAGCATCTCATGTAAATTTAGTTAAACTTCCAACAAATTCTTTGTAACATGTTACATAACCTGGATGTTTTTCTCCACTTTGTATAATCTCACATTTGAGCAAACAGCTACACCCTTTACGTTCTTATAATTAACACTGTGTTTCCTCTCGTATTTTAAAGCTTACAACTTGTTTGCCACTGACTACAAAACTCTATGGTTTTACCTTAATGTATCATTTGATGCATTTTTAGAGCACTATTTCTTCCAAATACTTTGCTGAACACTAAACAGATCTATAGTTTCTCACCAATGTGTGTCCTTTCATATTCTTTTAGGTGACTATTCCTTCCAAAATCTTCAAATGTATGTTTTTCTCCAATATGTATCCTCTAATGTATAGTTAGATCAAAATTTCTTCAAAATTGTTTGCCCAAACACTACACAACTGTATGGCTTCTTCAAAGTGTGAATCCTTTGATGTTGTTTAAGGAGAAATTTCCATTCAAACACTTTTCCATGCACTGTAAATTGTACAATTTCTTCTGTTTTTAGTTTCTCTTGTTAATCATCAACAGATTTCACTCCAACTTCATTGTCCTACACTATACTTATGTATTATTTATCCCTACTATGTGTTCTTTCATGTGCTTTTGTTGACTACTTCTATCAAAATCTTTACCACACATAATTGTATGGTTTCTCCCTCAGTGTGTATTATCTTGCTTTTTTGTTTAGCACTATTATTTCTAACCATTTTGCTTCTCACAACACTACAGTTTGAATCTTATAATATCTTTTAAAATTGGTTCTTTTACCAAACACTTTATCACTAGTAACACAAATATGTGGTTTATCTATACTGCAAGATATTGGATTTGTCTTTTTGTATCATTTCCTCTTAACCCTAGAATGCTAGTGTGGAGTCACTATGACTCCATACCACCTGGTGTTAATGATCAAAAATTTAACACTGGCATTCTAGGGTTAAAAAAATTTTGTCAAATACATCACAACTGCTTGATTTTTGACATTGTTGTATAACAATATAATAAGCAAGAAACTGATCTTCACAATGGCTGTTTATGTAGGTCCCTGTAGTCAGAGATAAGATACAAATTAACTCAAACTACTACTAATAACATACAGTTCACCTGATTATTTTTATTGCTCTTCAGTATTACACAGTAAGAGAAAAGTCCTGAGGTTAATTATACTTCCAAGATGTCTAAAATATTGATTTATGGTTTGTACATAATTTCTGAATTGAAAGGATAAGAAATATATATTCACTGTTATTTCAGTCCAGTATATGTGCAGATTTTATATCAATAATACTCAAATAACTATTTGTACAATTTATTGAATTTTTTGATACACTTTTTTAGGAGAGACAATATAGGAATATTACTGATTGAAATAATTAGCAGTTTACGAGATGGCTGAGTTATTAAATTCTACTTTTTTCCTCAGTTTTTACTAATGAAGATTTAAACAATATTCCTCATCCTAAACAGTTGCTAGATGAAAACAAGGTTAAACAAGATAATCACATTAATCCCTAGCTTGTTAAGAAAACGTTGGGAAGTAGAAAGAATGATAAAGCACCATGGCCAAATAATATTTATTCAAGGGTTTTGAAAGAGGTTAAGGACTGGATATGTGAGTCACTTCCTATTATTTTTTTCATAAGTCCTTGAATAGTTGGCAGGTGACAAAAGATTGTAAGTTGGCTAATATTACTTCTCTCTTCAAGGTAGGTGATAAAAATGGTCCTAGTAATTACAAACCTATTAGTCTTACATCAGTTGTAGTTAGTTTTGGAAAGTCTGATAAAAGATGTTTTGCAAAGTCATTTAATTAACAAGTTTTAAAATTTTGTTGGATAGTCAGCATGGTTTAACAAGGGGAAAATCTTCCCTTATTGATCTTTTTACATTCTTTGAAGAGGTTACTGCATAAGTACATGTGTGGATTTGGTGTGTCTGGATTTTCAGGTAGCATTTGACAAGGTGTCACATAAAACATTTAATATATTTTTTTTTTAGGTTATGTAGGATGAGTTGGCTCATTGAGTAGAAAACTGGATATATGGAAGAAAGTAGAGTGTGGTAATTCAGGGCTCAGTGTTAAGACCTTTCTCTTTTGGATTGACATCAATTACATAGACAAAGGGAGGGTTAATAAATTACTTAAATCTGCTGATTATATTAAGATTGTGGATGTTGCTTGACTATGAAGTGGATGCTGCTGCTGCTTTACAAAAGGATTTCAATTATTTGGCAAGTTGAACAAATAAATGGCAGATGGGTTTTAATTATAATAAAAATGCAAAGTAATGCATTTGGAATATCACAAGCTGAATTATAAGTACAATTTTGATGGGAATAACCTTGACAGTGGTATGAAAGAAAATGGTCTTGGTGTTCTGGTTAATCAACCTCTTAGACTATCCAAGCAATGTGCTGTTACTAGTGGCATGACAAATAGGATTTTGGGTTGTATGTATAGAAATATTGAATACAAGTCTAAAGAGGTTTAATTTCATTATATAGATCACTAGTTATGTTATATTTGGAGTATTATGTTCAGTCTCTGGCTCTCTATCCTAGGAAGGACACTGAATTGTTGGAAAAGGTTCAGAGAAGGGCTATTAGGATAACACCTGGAATAGAAAGGTTGTCATAAAAGGACATGTTAAGAAGAGTTACAGGGGATCTGATTGAGGTGTTTCAAAGAATTAAGTGGATTGATAGTGTTGATGCACCATCTTTATCTGCTCTTAATGGTAATCATGGCAGGACTAGGGAGCACAAATATAAATTTTGGCAATGTTAAAGTCATCTTCAGCTAAGATGGATGCAGTAAATTTAAGGGAGTTTAAAGGAAGGCTTGATAAATATTCAAATAAAGGCTGGCACTGAATATTTTTATTTCAAAGTTTAGTTTAGTGGATTGGATGGCTTAGATGGACCAATAGAACCCTTGTTTTCCTCATATTATTATAATGAACAATCAATACCCAAATTATTTTGAGTCATAAAAATTATTTCAAATTAAGTCAGCTGTTATAAGATGCATGTACATCCCCTAGATTCCTCAGTAAGGCAAACAAAGTTGTGTAAAGTTATCATCATTGTCATCTGCAATAGAATTACACTTTATTTAATGTGTTTACAACTTTAAATTATGCAAAGAGGGAAGCAAGATAAACTAAAATAGTTATTTGGTTTATTATTGTAAACCTTTCCAAAGTTTCATACAGCTTACACAACAAAATCTATGTACACCAATACTTGGATCACTGGAAAGTAACAGGAAAAAAGAAAAGGAAAACAAAGTTAGAAACAAATTAACCTGCAATGCTACAACTGGTATCAAATCAGAATAAGTATATTACCTTAGTTCCTCTGAAGAAATGAAACATAACTAACAAAATAAAACACTTTAAAAGCTATGGAAACCAGCCTAATTGTAAAAATGATGAATTATGTGCATAAAAAAATTATCTATTTCCACTAAAACATTATGTAAAAAAAAAAAGAAAAAAATTAATTGAAAATCCTGGTACCAACTGGGAGATTTTTCCTTACCAAAGACTTATAGCAATTATAAATAAAATTTTATTTTCTATATAGTGATATTTCATATGTTTGGCTCTCAGGTTCCATGCCATACACCTCATAAATATCGGTCTTATCTCAACTCTGATGTTTTCCTAAGTAAAAACAGTCCAACAATTACCAGCCACATACATTACAGCTATATAGTACCTCAACAGTTCTATATCCTATGATGTGATTTTAGATTTGTAGTGCTTCCAGACCCTTCACAACATGGTACCATATGATTATATTCTGTGGAAGTAATCTGATTACTTCTGAGAGATGTAATATTTCTGTCATAGATACTGTACACAATGGTATGGTTTATCCCTGAGTGAATCCTTGTATTTTGCAACACTACATGCTATACTGTTTCTCCCAATTATAGTTACAGATACTACTTTTAAATATTTTCAGTATAATAGTTCTTTACAGTTTTATCTCAATATGTACCTTCCCATGTTTTTTTAGGCTACTACTCCTTACAAATTTTTTACCACACAATACACAACTGTATGGTTTTTCTCCACTGTGAGTAGTCTGATGTCTTTTTAGAGAGGAGTAATGTGTATATTCCCTGTTACAGACACTACAACTGTAAGGTTTATCCTCAGTGTGCTTCCCCTCATGTATTTTAAGGTGACTATTACTGATAAATTCTTTGCCACACACTCCACAACTGTAAGGTTTATCCCCAGTATGAATCCGCTCATGTATTTTCAGGTGACTATTACTTCCAAATTCTTTGTCACACACTACACAACTGTACGGTTTCTCCCCAGTGTGTATCCTCCGATGTATTTTTAAGACACTATTTCTTCCAAATTCTTTGCCACACACTACACAACTGTAAGGTTTCTCCCCAGTGTGTATCCTCTGATGCATTTTTAGGTTGCTATTTCTTCCAAACTCTTTGCCACAGATTACACAACTGTATGGTTTCTCCCCAGTGTGTATCCTCTCATGTTTTTTCAAGTCACTGTTTTTACAGAATTCTTTGCCACATACTACACAAATATAATTATTTTCCTCAGTGTGTATCCTTACATGTTTTTTCAAGTTACTGTTTTTACAGAATTCTTTGCCACATACTACACAAATGTAATTATTTTCCTCAGTGTGTATCCTTACATGTTTTTTCAAGTCACTGTTTTTACAGAATTCTTTGCCACACATGGCACAACTGTATGGTTTGTCTCTGCTGTAGGGTAGCTGATACTGTTTTGGATCATTTCCACTTGCAGTTGTTTTGCCAAATACATCACTACTGTGTGGTTTCCAAGATTTTGTAAAAGAAGATGCTTGTGTTAAAATAGAGCAACTAGGAAACTGCTTTCCACAACAGGTGTTCATGTACTTCTTTATACCTAAAATCAAAATATGAATGTAACGAATACAGCAATTGATAAAGACAGTACATATTAGTTGATCTTTTCCTAAATATGTTTTTAATGTAATTATACAAAAACTGATTAATATTAACCTTTAAAAAATTACATATAAACGTTTAACAAGAGAGAGAGAGAACTGAAAGATCCTATTGTCCTGGTTTCCACAAAATATTTAAAACATTAAAATTCTGATAAAAACATGTTCAAGAGGTTTTACAGAGAATGAATTTAAGTTCAATGAGGACAAAGTTTACATCACAACCAGTAACATCGTACTTAGTATCATTTTGAGTTAATTTTATGTGACAGCATAACTTGTTAAAATCCAACTACTTTTAATGTATCTGGTATCTATCACTCTGGATACAAGTTTTCATCAATATGTTATTAGCAATGTTGTCAAAATCCTTTAATTATTATTTAAATAAAAAATTATAGCTCTTTAATTAAAAGTTTCACCTTCTTATAAAAGTATCATTAAGCTACAGTGCTTTTCTGAAACCAGAACCATTATTTGATTATAACATAACAAAAAACGATAAAGGACCTTTTGGCTCATCAAGTAAATTAAACTAACTCGCCACACAAAACAACACCTATAAGCCAGCCCTTATTCAAATAGTTATCAAGCTTTCCCTTACACTAACTGCATCCACCACATCCAAAGGCAACCCATTCCATAGTCTTGAATATGACTTCTTTCTTGCCAAAATTGATATTTGTGACATCTAATATTACCATTCTCACCATTAAGTATGAAAATCGACATGACACATTACTACTATCAATGCCTTTAACATCCTTAAACACCTCAATCAGATCACCTTTAAATCTTCTTTTTTCATGAGAAAAACAGTTCAGAAATCTTAACCTATTCTCATATGATAACATCTCCATCCCTGGTATCATCCTAGTAGCTCTCTTTTGAACCCTTTTCAACAATTCAATGTACTTTCTGAAGTAAGGAGCCCAAGACTAAACACAATATTCTAAATGTGGCCTAAGCAATGACATACAATGACATTATAACTTTTTACACTTGTATTCAATACTTTTGTAGAAACAACCTAAAAGTTAAAATTTTCCTATACTGAAAATGAATTTTCGATAGGTACTTACCTCCGCTCACAGAAATAGCTATTCTTGCTCAGTGCTGCCTTCTATATGCAAAACTTGTTTTACTCATGCCATAAGCCTTTTATCTTCCCTCCATTGGAATTGACTGATTCCAATGTGTTTCTCATGCAAATCATTATGCATCAACCCTCCACCAATAAGAGTGTGACATGCTCTCATGATGCATGTGATTCCCTCTATTCAATACTACCGAACTATCACTTTGAGATTTGGCAGAAGATGGAAGCACCAGTTTTCAGTGGAGAAGAAGAGTGGGAAATATGAGAGGAGTTAAGTACCTATCGAAAATACATTTTCAGTATAGGAAAGTTATAAATTTCAATACAGTACATTACGTCTTCTCACATAAATAGCTAGAATCCCGCATTGAATAGGTGGAGGGACCGGTGTGAGGGAAAGATGAAACTATCGTTTGAAAGTATCTGAAGAACACTCTCTAAGAGGAGACAGATTCTAAGATCTAATGTGGGGGACTGCACCACTTCTGAACCAGGTATACTCTTTGTCCATTGTAGAAAGCTGTCACACATATGGGTGGAAAACAGGGAAGCATACCCAAGTTGGAGAAAACTAAGGGCAGATAGTGATTCGAATCATATAATATTTATGCCAGCAAGTCAACCACAATCCAAAATCCAGGTCACCAGGTACTAACATCCATCTGGGGGAAGGAAGGAAGAGCATACTGTCTTCACTTCAAGTTCATGAGGCTGGAAGGAATCAAGAACCCCCAGATCCACAAATGGGGCATGTTAATATACAAGAAACTGATACATCGATCTGGGAACCTGACATCTGGTATCAAAACGATATCTGCTTAATGCAAACCATTTCCCTCAAAATTGAAATTGACCAGAAGTGCCCCAAGCACAGTAACATCCTCGGAATAATAAGCATAGAGGGATAGTGAAAGGGGAATAACTGCAAGTACCTCCACCATGACCCATAACACTGATGGAGTAACAAGGGTATACATGAGGAAGGAATATAGACATCTGTAATACATGTATGAAGAATTATGTTGATTGGTTCAACTCTAAATCCAAAACCCAGCCATTTGGAACCAACATCCATGTTGGGGTAGGATGAGGGATCCCAATTGAAGGGGTGAACTGCAATATTAATGGCTCACTCCTATTTATTTGTGTTTCATATTGGAGGATATAATGTCATCTACACCAGCAGAATACCACTGCTCTACTCTCAACTGAATGATTTTATAATCATATCTATATTTTGTTTGTATTTCATTAACTCATTCAGGAGGATGCCTACATGGTCAACCATCTCAGTGGCTTGTAACTGGAAAGTGGTAAGGACTCTCAAACTCCAAAAGAAGAAAAAAGGGGGGGGGGATGCAGTGGAGAGTCTGGAGGAATGAAAACATCTGTGAAAGTGCAATGGGTGACCACAAAACCCTATTTTCAAAAGCAGATCATACCGATTTAATCAATACAAGGTATGGCATAGATGGGCAGCTATCCCCTTCTGCTTTACCATATAGCCCATGGGTGAGTATGGTCCAGAATGGACAAATTTATTAAGCAAGTCCATCACAAGGATAAACCTACAAGCGATCTTATGGAACACCCCATCCCAGCAGTGTGCATTGCGTGGCCATGGAAATATAATATGCAAGTCGACAAGGCTTTACAGTGCAGATTTATAGGTTAAAAAATATCTAGTCAGGCACCACTCCCCACAGAATGGGATCCAAACACTGAGTAATAATAAAAAGGGAAAACGGCTGCTGAAAAGAAATAAAGAATAATAAAAAATAACTTACCCTGTTAAAGTCTCACTGAAGTCTGAAGAATAGCTACAGGTGGAAGATGATAGCCCGAAGAGGAAGGAATTGTGATCCTATGCAAATAGTGAGATAAATGTATTAGGGGTAGTCCACATACCCTCCAGGGGATAATGAAGATGAGACACTAATGAAAAAGTAAGTGTCAAGATTGATGAGAAGACACCTGGAAGAAAGAACAGGAAGAAGATTATAAAGAGGAATAAGTCAATCGAATTAAAAGGTGAGGGTGGAAGGAGAAAGATCACAAACAGAGGACAGCTACCAAAGAATAGAGGCAGGAATGGGCACCCCTGAAGGAAGCTGTGCAGGCAATATAACAGCAAAGAGCATGTACAGTACATAGAAGTCTATCCAAATTGGGCCAAGGATAAAGGTGGGAAATGAAAGGAAGGAAAATCAGTAAAAGTAGGAGTTACCCTCATGAGTCACCAAAGTTATGGGAAGGAATTAATGATATGGATAAAGGAGAAAATATGTAGAATGATACATAGTACATCAAATATTGATGGCAAACAAATCAGACTTTTGATCTCCACAGGCTAAGAGGAGAAGGAAATAAGTCTTAAGGGAACGGTAAAATTTAGCAGTGTAAGACTATAGAGAAGGCAGCTAGTCATCGCCACCCACCACCAACTCTTGGGCTACTCTTTTACCAATGAATAGTGGGATTGACCATCACATTATAACTCCCCCATGGCTGAAAGGGCGAGCATGTTTGGTGGGATGGGGATTCGAACCCACGACCCTCAGATTGTGAGACGAGTGCATTAACCATGCTGGGCCAGAGGCAAAGTAAGACAGTGAAGGACCACATTAATATCCTAATACGGAAGGGCAGCCCGCCAAGGCGGATGATGAATCCGGAAGGAACGCATCAACAGGGAAAGAGTAAGAGAGGTAAGCACCTTATGGTATCGGAAAAAACTTAAGGTGTGGGATAAAGCCACCCAATAGCTGAGATTGAGAAGACAGAATACCCCCGATCAAAAAGCCAAATGAGGAAATCCACAATATGAGGAACAGTGGGTTGAGCAGGGAAACCCTTGACTCAGAGACCAATGGCAGAAAATGTTCCATTTATGTTGATAAACTTCCATGGAGGAAGGGCGAATAGAGCAAACTAGAAAAGAAGCTACCCATCAGGACAAGCCGGATCTCCTTGCTAAGGATTGGAAAGAAATCATGTGTGAAGACGGAGGACAGGAAGGGCTGGATGAAGTACCAGTGACTGAGGTTGATGAAGAAGGGAAGGAGTCAGAAGAAAAGGTAATGGAGTAGTAAGTTGGAGCTGAAGAAGCTGCAGAAACCATGATTGAGCTGGCCAGTGAGGAGCTATTAGAAGGACTTGACATGGAGTGGCATGGATGACCAAAAAAACCTGATGAAAAAGTCTCATGGTAGGATAGATATATAGTCATTTGTTGGTGCAGTCCTGGCTGAAAGCATTAGCAGCCAGAAGATGAGGGACCAGAGACCAAAACAGAAAAATTTTATGGTTGAGGGATGTGGCAAAAACATCGATGTGAGGAGTACCTCACTGAAGGCAAAGCCACTGGAAAACAAGAGGATCGAGAGACCACTCCATCAAATTGAATTTGTCTGAATGGGAAAGCTGATCTGTGACAATATTGAAAACACCCAGAACATGACATGCAATTAAATGAATATTTAGTGTGTGTGTGCCCAAGAAAGACCCTACATATGAATACAAAAGGATTGAGAATGGGTGCCATCCTGGTGATTGAGATAAGCAACCACTGTAGAATTGTCAGAATGGATCATTATCAAATTATTTCTGGCCAGTTTGAGAAAATGAACCAAAACATGATGTACAGTGAGAAGCTCCAGGATGTTGATATAATAAGATTTCTCAGCTGCAGACCCATACACTGAAGCTTCCTGTTGATCTACCCACTCACCTGCCAATGTGTGAGTCTTGTCCAACCACCAATGTAGATTGTCGACCAGGGTAGGAGGAAGAGCAATAAGAGTTGTCAAACGATCCCTCATGAGATTCCATTGGTCATGA